AAGTAATTAATAATATTGTTTATATAATAATCTTTATTTTTTAAATTAATGTTTTCTAAATCATGACTGGAAAGAATATGTTTATCATTTAAAATAAAGTTTAAATTGATCAAACTTGATATATTGATTAGATAATAAAAATAAATAATATTTAATAATTATTCGTATTTCGTGATCTTCCCATACCTCTTTTATTATACTTAATAATTTTTTTGATTATAATAAATATTTTCTATGAAAGTTATTAAATATTTATAAATATTTCAAATAATCTTAATTTACGAAATATAACTAAAAATAATTCATTATTAAAAATTAAGATAGAAATACTCAGAATTAATATATTCATTAATATATAAATGCATTTCAATTGACAATAAAGACATATATTAAAGTGTTATATGTAGTAACAAAGAAGTTTAAATTTTATTAAAATACATTTTAGTAATTGCAATACAATAAAATGCTACAATTCTTATTGAGCGCTTACTTTATGCAATTATAAATGTAGTATGTAATATAACAAATATTTTTACAATATTATAATGTAAATATAAGAAATAAATTGTATTGTACAAATACATTTAAAATTGTGAATGTAAAATTCTATTTTGTTGGTGAAAAGCTAGTTGGACTCAATATACGGGAATGTGTTTCTCTAATTAATGGTACAGTATATGCAACACATTCGTCCCATCCTGGAAGTCTCCATGCGCTCTCACGAGTTTCCATTCGTGCTTGAAGATTTTTATAACCTGGAATTATATTATATTTATTTAAAAAAAAAACAGATTACATATATATATTTAAAATATAACATGTAGCAATATATAAGATAGTTCATTTTTTAATTTAGTATTATAGATATTTATGAACATAAAATTATTAAAAATTATAATAAAAATATAAAATAAAATGGAATTGATAAATTTTTTATTATTATATTATAATATTGTAAACAGAATTATTATCAAAAATTCATTTATAATTTTTAAAGCTTATTTTAATTTTTTTTCATTTTAAAAATTTTTTGTATTAATTTATTATAAAATATTAATATATCTGTGAGATATCTTTGAAAAACTAGATTTTAGATGTCAAAATAAAAATAAAAGTTATATATAAAAATATTAGTTGATTTTATTTATAACTTCAAATTAATTGAAATTTGCATTATGAAATGAAATAGATATAAAGTGAGACAAAGGTAGAGTTATCTTTTTCTATCTCATTTTATCTTTACAGATTTCAATTATATTTATAAATAAGCATCAATATATTTATATACCAACAACAAGATATTTTTATATGTATTAAAATAAAATGGATTTGAGATAATTAATTATAAAAAACACTAATATAGTTAAAAAAAAGTGGAATATTTTGAATATATACAAGATGGTTCACCAGATATTTTATTTTTATTATTATTATTACCTATAGCAAAAAATATTTTATATAAAATTAAATGATTTCTAGATGATTCTATATTTTGATGTTATTAATTTTTATAATAAACCAAAATGGTAATATCTGATGAATCTGTATATTTGATCACATGTACTTAATTTATATATATTTAGTTTATATTATAAATATAATATATAAAATGAATTTAAAAATAAGTGAAAAACATTAACATTGATACCTACACCAAATGTGGTGAACATTATATAATCTACCAATTTGTGAAAAAAAACCAGCAAAAGGTTCGTTATTGTTACGTCTATAATTTATAGCCTTGGCCCAATTGTTGCCCCATTCTATCATAGTACCAGGTTGTAGCCTATAACTACGTATTTCATATATATTTGAATCATTTCGTTTTGTAAGAGGAGGCCAATAACTAAATGCTAACAAATACTGTAAATAACGTGATCGTAAATAATTGCCATTTTCTTTGAATAATTGTTGATATTCCTGAAAATAAAAAATATTATGTTATAAGAAATATTTATTTTATATTAGTTTATATAAATTTTTTTGATTGTCATACTTTGTCTTTAGACAATTCAATTTGTGTATGATCAACGCTATCATAACCACCAGAATATTGCCATAGATGTAAAGCTTGATCGATATCACCAGCTACGACAGTCCATGAACCAACTAGTTCCAATTTCAATTCAGACTTCTTGGAGTTTATAATGTTAACAATCTCTTCACTGTAATATCCCAAAATACAAATATGTCCCAATATAATTTTTCTAATATAAAAGAATTCTCTGTGCATGCCAATTCTGCGACATAAATAAAATCTAATATTTTTTTGAAACTTTTAAAAAAATCGAAAAGGATTTTTGTGCGTATATTTTAAGTACTTATTAAGTACTTACTTTAAAGTTAAGATTTGATATTATGATAAAAAATGTAAACAAAATTTACTTACTAATTAGTTAAATAGTTATCAATAGAATCAGGTCGAATATTGTGCGTATGCAAAGCGTAAATAACTCCTTTATCTGATAGCATCCTTGAATGAGACTCTTTTGTTGGCTCGATTTTTCTTACGGAAAGCTTGTTTATCCATCCTTCGCTGATATCCTGTCGGATCGATGACCTTGCAAAAGATCTACAACACATACGATGTGGCTATTGCCCTAAAAAGCCGCTGTTTAGAGACTAGCTCGTAGTCTATGTACGAAACATATGAAAAAAGAAGGGCTCCTCAAGGTTTTTGAATCTTGATCGCCTACCGGCTGATAATAAATGACGGTAGTTTAGTTTTGCTGATCACCGTGATCTGCGCGGCACTGAATCTTCTCAAAACGGCAGCCATTCTTAGTGGATCCTCGCTTACAGATCTCTGCTGGTTTATATCCAATCAAGATCAAAGCCCAATTTCAATAGTGCTGCAACTAAACACGCGGCGCTTTCAATTACATTCCCAAAAAAATCGTATACTAATCTTGATTTATCCTTATTTATCTCCATTCGCGATCTGTTGCTTTTACATAAAGTAAAATTTACAACTATGAGAAATATACTTATTAGATAAATTAAAGAATTTAATATCACAATACTTGCGTTTTTCATAAAATATTTTATTTTCGATATAATAATATCATTAATGCATTTGTTTTATTCTAATTTATCTCTTAATAAAATAATAATAATTTAAAATAATGTTTAACGTTAAAAAATTTTATTGTTTTATGGTTCAAATAATACATCGTTATATAATTATTCACATAACTTAATATAATGGTATTTATAAATATAAATATAATTTTAGAAAATTTTAATATAATGTTATTCTTAATTTTAAATATGATGCTGAAATATAAATATTTTAATTTTTATTCATATTTATAGAATTAATTTTATATAGTATATAAATTTAATTAATTTTTCATAAAAAAAATTATTCATATATTTTTTTATTCATATTATTTAAATAATTTTTAAATTCAAAACATTATATTTTTAAATTTAATATATTATGATACACGAATCATATTTTAATTGTTCATAATAATTGTTTCTTTTTGGTTAAGTTATTTATTTATAACCTACTTAACCTACTTATAATCCACATACAGTTTTTGTTTTAAATTGATCTAGGTTAGTTTTAATTTTCTACATTAAATGTTAAATTAACTATATATTAATTATATACTAATTATTGTTTTACATTAATTATATTAATTATATAAATATTAATAAATATTTTAAAATATTAATAATAATATTTTAATTATTATTATTAATTAATATATTATAATAAAAGTATCTTTTAATTTTTTTGTAATTTAATACATTGTTCTTAAAAATGGAAAATTTAGAAGTTATAGAACATTTTTATGGAGTGTATTTATTATATTCTATGAATCCACAATTTAAAGGAAGAATATACATAGGATTTACGGTTGATCCTTGTCGTAGACTTAAAGAACATAATGCTGGAAAAGAACATAAAGGTGCTCGAAAAACAAGTGATAAAGGACCATGGTAATGATATAATTATTAAATGATTATAAATTATATTATTCTGATAAAGATAATTATTTTTTTTCTAGGAATATGGTACTAATTATTCATGGTTTCCTAAATAAAACATCTGCACTTAGTGTATGTTCATTTAATAAAATTTATGTTCATTTAATAAAAATTAACTGTATCTATTATTTTTATATTTGAAATTTATTTTGTTTTCATTTTTAGTTTGAATGGGCTTGGCAACATCCTCATAAAAGTCGGCGTTTAAAACATGTATATGTATCTAATGCAAAGAAAAAATTACAACAAAAAAGGAAGATTAGATTTCATTTATCTGTTTTATCAGAAATGTTGAAAATTGGTCCTTGGTGTCGTTTACCTTTAACAATACGTTGGTTAGATTATGAGTTCTATGAAGAATATTATAGGTATGTTTCAGCTCCAATGCATATGCCTATATGTTATGGAAAAATAATATCAAAAAAAATAAAGCAGACAAATAATATACAAGCATTAGATAAATTATCTCTAATTTGTTTTCTTTGTAATTCACTTTTAGAAAAAGAACAATCAATTAGTTGTATAAGACCTAACTGTTCATTAGTAACTCATTTAATTTGTTTAGCACGATTATTTTGTAAAGATAATATGATTTTACCAATTGAAGGTATTTGCCCTGCTTGCAATATTAATGTTTTATGGGGAGATTTAATTAAAAAAAAAATTGGTTGCTATGGAAATTTAGAAAGAGTTTCTAATGATGAAAATTATACTTAAAGTAAATTATATAAATGTTTATAATAATATCTGTTATATCAATCATAAAGTTATATAAACTATTACAATTTTGAAGTTTTTAATTATTTATCATTTCTAACTTTTTATATGTTAAAAATATTATTAAATATCATTAATATAAAATTTTATCTTTTATCTCATCAATAGCAAATAGCAAATAGTTAAATGAATAAATATTTATTACTAATAATTTCATTTTAAATAATGAAAAAAATTACAAATTGAAATCATAAATGTTTAATATATAAAATATTATGAAAAATAATAAAGGTACACATAAATGATCTAATTATAGTCTTAAAATAAGAAAAAATTTTGATTATTTCAGTATTTAATTAATTATATATAAAAAAGATGCAAATATGTGTAAATATTAAATATTTCATTCACTTCATATGTCTAAAAAAAGCAACAATTATATATTTT